TATATTTAATTAAAAATATGATTTAATTCTTAATTTTTTATTTGTAAGTTATTTTTATTTTTATTTTATAAATCATTTATATTATAATATAATTATTAACTTATAACTTAATTTATTTAAAATATATAAATAAATTAAAACTATAAAATATATAAATAAATTAAAATTCCAAAAAAAAAGTGTTGGATACTCATGAATTTATTCAAACCAAACAAAATTCAATAAAATAAATCCATCTTTTTAAAACTTAAATCCGTCCCACCTTTACAAAAATGAGACAGGAAGAATAAAATTTACCCTATTATTATTCTTAATTTTTATCATTATGATAACTATGAGAACGTTTATTAAATTATCTTAGAAACAAGAGTTTAAATTACTTTTAAAAAACAAAGAAAAAAGATACGACACATTCCCTTGTTAGACACATATGCATGTTTAGTAGTTCTCTAAGAACTTCTTTTGCATCTTTTAGGCATCAAATAGACCATATTATATTAATTAATACTGTTTACATTTCCCATTATATTAATATTAAAAACTTATTATTTGACACAAACAAACCATATTAAATTAGAAGAGCTATTTTAATAAGAACAAGGTGAGTTATCTCATATTCAAAATTCAACCTTTTTTAAGCCCCAGTCAATATTTTCATATTATAATATAAAAACTTGAAACTTGAATCATGGAGTTGACATGTTAGTAATGGTGGAGTTAACGTGTCAACATGCAAAATTCTTTTTATTGTTAACACGCATTAATTATTTATAGTATTTATCGTGTAGTTGTACATTTTTTATTATTATAATATTTCTCTAGCTACAATGTAGCCTTTTAAACTTTTTTCAAACATATAAGTGAAATACTACTAAACTAGTAATTATCTAATAAATGAGTGTAACAAATTCATTCATAAGTGAGAACTGAGAAAGATACACTGTTTGTAATATTTAAAGACAAGTAAGTGAATAGTGTCTTAATTGTTGTTATGTCTTTAATGTCCAAACAAGTAACTATCAAGGAGCCAACAAGTATAACACTATGAACATAGCGTATTTTAAGAAGAAGCTTACCTTATATCACAACAAACAATATTACTTTTGATAACTTATTTACTCATTGGCATATACGAGACGCAAAGTTTAGTTTGCAATTAGGAGGATTCATGCATAGATATTTCTTAAGTATGATGGGTAATATCGTAATATACTTGATTTAGAATCCAAAACAATTTACTTAACCAAAGCATCTGAGATCGAAACGCACCGTCTTTTGTCGTGTATTAGCGTTGCTGACGCAGGTGCAAGGGTCGAAGGAGAACGCGATGCTTTCTTCCTCTTTTGTTCTTCCCCTTCCCAATCTTCAACTTTAGGGTTACTTTCAATCTCATCGTTCTCGTTCCTCCACACTCCCAAGCTCCGTTCACTCCAACAACACTCCGGTGAGCCTTCATCTTTCTTCGTTTGCTATCCCCAAACGATTATCTTTCTCTCGCTTCGTTAATTTCGCTTTGTCTTTTCGTGCTAAGATCATTTTACTTTTTGCTCTTCCAAATACGAGCACGCGCTTTCGATCGGAACTCTGACAATTTCCAGATTTCGGATTCTGGAATGAGTTGCGTGTGGATAAGGAATGGCTACGATTGTCAAGATTTTTTTTTTTTTTGTTTAATTGTTCTAAGATTATTGTTGTTATTATTATTATTTTAATTTTATGTTGCTTTCCTTATTATTTGAATTAATTCAGATATTGTTTGCCTTCTATATGTTGTATTATTATTATTGTTATGTCCATTGATTTTCACCTTCTGGTTTCTGTCATTTTTGTATTAATTATGTTATAAATATACCACCACTAATGTCAGAGTAGTAGATGGCTTTATATTCCTAACAATCAGTGGATCATTAGTTGTTTAGTGGCAGATGATAACATTTGAAAAATCTGTTGCTCCTAAGCTTGTAGTAGCTTATTTATTCATGGTTGGGAAAAAAACAGTGTAGTCAAACGTGTGCTGGAGGTAAGGCGGAAGAATGGATCAGTGAGGCACACAGGGTGCCTTTTATGCCGTGTGCCTGGTGGTTCATATTGGTATATGTAGAACACCCTAAGAGGCCACATCTGTTGCTAACTGCCATGCTTAAACAGGGTAAAATAGTAAGAATGGTAGAAAAAAACTCCCTCGGTTTTGAAATAATAGTCACTTTAGGAGTTTAGTTTCTTTTAAATTATTTGTCACTTTAGTGTCTTGGTTTCTCCAACAAATTGAATGAGGAAGTGTTATCGAAGTAAAAGGTTAATTTAGTCAAAAGTAGTTCTATTCCCTAAAATTAAGGGTATTTTAATGTCTATCTTAATCCTTGTTGTGCAAAATCTTAGATGCCAATTATTTTGAAATGGTGGATTGGCCAGTTGTCCGTGTTTGGACTCGTACCACTGAAAATATTTTACAGGTTTTGGAAGTTGAACAGTTAAATATTTCCTTTTTAGTTTGTACTACAAATGTGTTGCTTGAATAGTTTATTTGAGTGGAAAATTAATGCACATTTCAAAATAGTCAAATATTTTTTTGGTCTTCTTCCTCTTTTAATGTCAAGTGCTTGTCTTTAAGGTAGATATTGGAGCTTGAGATTCTGATTAGCTGGGTGTGGGACATGAAGCTCCTATTAAAATTGACACACTCTTCCATTAACATCTTGGATTTCAAGAGTTGACTTACCTCTACGTTAATTGGTATCATAGCCCAGTTTGATCACCTCCCTAACATGGATGGTTTGCTATATGCAGGAGAGTGGGTCCCGCATTGGTTGGGTGTGAAACTTAACTCCCATTTGAAGTAGATGCCCTTTACTTCATTCAATAAGGTGTGTGCATTTAGCCACCTCTTATCTGAAGGAGTTTCAACCTCCTAGCACCTTAAGGGTGCCTTTCACCTTTGGCTACCTTGGGAAAAACTATATTCTTTCTTTTTCATGAAAACTATGGATTCTCATGTATTATCTCGGAACCTTATACAGAGAAAATCTGTATATAACTTGCTGCCTATACCATTTGTGTAATGGTACCTTCACCACCCTTCAGATAAATTATCTATAACAAATATAGCCAATAGCTTTCAATTCCTACTGCATGAGACTCCTAATGTTGGTGGGGTCTGGGAGGCTTGATGTATGCAGCCCTAGCCCTGTGAGTGTTACGGGAACTTTTTCTGCCACTAGAAACAATGACATTAAGTCAAGTAACCTTGCCTTTGTGCCATGTGCCACCCTCTTATGAATGTGCAATACCAATAAGAAAAGAAAATGAAAGATGTTATGATGCTACTTTTTTATTTTTAAATTTTTTCTGATCATTCCTATTATTAATAATAATTTTGTGGTGTGTATAATTATATTGTTGAGCTGCCTTATTTTACTCTATATGAAGAAAATTTATTTTATAATTAGTTGTTATTAATACTGTGCTACAGTGCTGCACTGCTGCCATTGCGGAGGAGTGCTGCAGAGCAGCCTCCGACTGTTACTGATTTGCCTTCTTGGAGCATATTGAATTAGTCCGAGTCTGTTAGAACTGGTTCAGATAAGACAATTTATGACAAAAAGAGAAGAATTTTATCGGAAGAATGGTATCATCAGTGGTAGGCCCCACTAGAGTGATGATATGGAAATGATTCAAGATGATATACAAATGTTTAGTATTTGAGAGACTCCACTTTCTCCTTGCCCTTCTTCCCAAAATGATACAACCCTTTCTCCTCTATGTTCTCTTTTTATTATGTTCCTTCCCCTAACCAGATTTTGTTATTGCAACAACCTACAACTAATTGTCATTGCAGTCATCAGTGGTATGCTCCTCTACATACACTCCATTCCTCCTAGATACACCCACTTAATGTCTAGTTTCCTGATAGAGTTGCCACCAGCTGTCTGCCATCCCTGTAAATTGCTTCCCTTGCTGCCACTGTTCTTTCATGAGGATAAAATTCCCTATTTACCCTCTTTATTTTGTGCGTCATTGAAGCCATTTATGGGGTATTTTGTTATGGACAAAATTTGGGTACAGTGCCTTAGGTGTGATTAGTGTTGTTCGTCAATCAGAATTGGAGTTTTACCTCAATATTATACACTTCCAATTTAATTCAGGTCTCATTAATATACATTTATGCATACTACTGGGGTAGAAGTTCAACTCTGATTGGTGAATAACACTAACCGCACCTAAGAAATTGTACATAAGTTTTGTCCTTTTGTTATTTCCCATCTTTTACATCCAAAAACCTACGCGTGCCTGATAGCGGTGATAGCGGTGAAATAGTGCTTTTTATGGTGTGGAGCAGCAGCGGTTCTCACTGTCGCAGAGCACTTAAATGTTGCAGCTTTCGCGGCAGAATTAGTGTTGGGTTGTAGTGGGATAGTGGCATGCTGATGAGATTCCAAAAAAGCCCTCCTTAGACATTATGGCTTTCTTGGCGGTGGGTGTATTTTAGGGATTTTCAGGACAAAAAACACAGTAAAAAGGGGCTAGACATGCTGCCGCTTGCAACTCTTCTCTCTCAACTCTCTTATCTCGTCTCTTCTCTCTCTAGCAACGAGACCTGCTCCCTCTGTTCTGGCAAGACCTGCTGCTTGTGTCTCTAGCGATCTGCTACCTTTGCCTGTCTCTGGTGACCTGCCGCCTAGACTTTTTATTGTTAATTATGAATGTCATGAATTTTGAGTAAATTTTATCATTTTGAGATTTTACATGTATATATTATTATATATACACCATATAAATTTTATAAAAAAATTTCATAATAGCGGCCATCCCATTATCCCGCTATAGTGTTTTTTGGGTCAGCCACATTGCCCCACCGTCTGGGATTGATATGTTTGAGACTAAATACACCTACTCGTATTTGAATGTTAAGATAAAAAATTTGACCAAGGGTGACCTCCTTCCTTTTCCAGCTGCTGAACATACACTCCGACAGTGTTTCTGTGCAGCCTACATCATTCCAGTGTTTTTACTGCCCAAGTTTCAAGTTATGCTTCACAGCACAATCTGTCTCTGTTTTCTTTTTTATTTTCAGCATCTCTGTCTGTATTGTGTTTTCTCTTTTCTTTGCTTTCTGTTTTGTTTACTAAGTGGCAGGGTAGCTTCACATGTTCTCTGTTCTTCTCAAAGAGTTCTGTCTTTTTATTTTATTTTATTTTATTTGAATCCAGTGAGGTCTCTGTCTCGATTCTGTTTCTCATATGTTCCTAGACTTGTATTGTTAACTTGTGTGTGTAACTTAAGATTATGATTTTTGACCATCGATTATACATATGTCCTTAATTTCAAGTACTATTTTGGGCATTATATATGAAGTATAAGGGATCCACCTCACCTAGTGGGATAAGGCTTTTGTTGTTTTGTTTATATATATGTATACATTATTTCGTTTTGTATTTATAATCTTCAAAATAGCAGTCATCCTTCTTTTCGCTATCCTGTCAGCAGTTTTGGGGATAGGTGCTCCATGCCTATGTGGGGTTGATAACTATGTTGTCAACTTGTCATAGAAAACTGTCAAATTTCTTATTAGAATACAATTAATCAGGATCTTATTTTCTTCGATTGCAACAATTAAAGAGACAGACAATTGTTCTGAATTGCAATGATGTTCTGGATCCTCTTTTGCCAAGTAATGTTGCTTTCATGTGATGTATATCATTCTTGGTGTACCCATTTGTTGGTGTTTAATTAATATTAGTAGCATTTAAAAGTTTTAGTCACTGAGGCTTTATGTAGCAGAGTTTTAGTTTATTCCCCAGTCTCTTGGTGTGGGCTACACAATGGGAGCTATACCTCTTTATTCACTGAACCCCTCCCTCATTTTTAAAAGGTTGGTTTGGATTGGATTATAGGTCCCTGCCCTTGAAGAAAAGTACAGTTGGGGTGACTATTGAATTTGTGCTAGTGCTGTAACCCTCGTGACAGCTCTTCGAGATTTTTGCACGTTCTTTTCATTCAGTATTATTCTTTTGATGTTTGCATCTGATGTCGATTTCAATATATTTTGCATTTGTTTATGCATTAGATATGCTTTCGTGGGCCTGATTTTTGCTGTTGTTTCTCCACAATTTTCCCTCTAGATTTAGAAATGGATGGACCAGCTGGCCGAGGTAGTGGTGCTGGCCTTGACATGTTTCTACCAAATTATAAATTGGGAAAAACACTTGGGATTGGTTCTTTTGGCAAGGTGAAAATTGCAGAACATGTATTGACTGGCCATAAGGTTGCGATTAAGATCCTTAACCGACGTAAGATAAAGAACATGGAAATGGAAGAAAAAGGACAAAAATGTTTTGTATAATTTTTTATCAATAGATTTCAAACTTCATTGGATTTTAGATTTTTCTATATATCTGGCATTTTTGTTTTGTTTTGTGAATATTGATTTATAATTATAGCTTCAAGTACTTTATGTTTTTTCTAACCCTGTTATCATTATATTCTAATGGTGTCGAGTTTGAGGACAAATATTGCTGTTTTCTGTATGCTTGAGTTTACAAAATCTATGTTTCCTACTGCTTAGTCTTATTAATTAAATATGCTTATAATTTCTTTTCCCCTTTTCTATTTCCAAAACATGTTGCAGTGAGAAGAGAAATCAAAATTTTAAGATTGTTCATGCATCCTCACATTATAAGACTTTATGAAGTCATAGAAACTCCAACTGACATATATGTTGTTATGGAGTATGTGAAATCTGGAGAGCTCTTTGATTACATAGTAGAGAAGGGTAGGTTGCAGGAAGATGAAGCTCGTAATTTTTTTCAGCAGGTAGGATTGTTTACTATTTTGTGTAGTTGATAAGACTTTTAGTTGTCACAGATTATTCAAGCTAATTTCTGATTTTGGAAGCAGATAATCTCTGGCGTGGAGTACTGTCATAGGAATATGGTGGTTCATAGAGATTTGAAGCCTGAGAATTTACTTTTGGACTCCAAATGTAATGTCAAGATTGCTGATTTTGGCTTGAGCAACATCATGCGTGATGGGCATTTTTTGAAGACAAGTTGTGGAAGCCCAAATTATGCAGCTCCTGAGGTTTGAAATTCTTTGGTTTGTAATGGAATACATGATGATCATTGCTATTTATTATTGTTAAGGATATACATATATTCAGTCTCTAGTCTCTGGTGATTTGTTTTTCTTGGTTACACTTTGTCATTTTTCACAGGTTATCTCTGGAAAATTGTATGCTGGACCTGAAGTGGATGTCTGGAGCTGTGGTGTAATTTTGTATGCTCTTCTTTGTGGCACTCTTCCTTTTGATGATGAAAACATTCCAAACCTCTTCAAGAAAATTAAGGTATTGTTGTTGATTTTATTTTTTTTAATTAATTAAACCACTGGCCGATATCTACATATATACTGAAACTGTCCAGGCCTTGGACATGTGGCTAATTTTCCAGCTTAGTAATTCCTGCTTTATATTTTTATTGTTGCTTTGTGCATTTTCTTTTTGCTTTACCCATTTTTGTTTTTTAATTTTTCTAATCTTCTGAAACTATGCAAATACACAGGTTGCATTTTTGACTTTTTGAGTTCTATATATCAATATAATACAATAAGAGCACTATAATATCTTGACAGTTTTGAATTAAACATTGGATGTTGTTCTATATTAATATTAATATAATTTATATAGTAATAGATATTTTTGAGGATCAGATAATCCAAATCAGATTTATTCTTTAAATGATGTTTATCATCAAAGAGATTTTTTTGTTTTTTATAGGGTGGGATATACACTCTTCCCAGTCATCTATCAGCTAGTGCTAGAGATTTGATACCTGGGATGCTCGTAGTTGACCCTATGAGGAGAATGACCATACCTGAGATCCGTCAACACCCATGGTTCCAAGCCCGTCTTCCCCGTTATTTAGCTGTGCCACCACCAGATACATTGCAACAGGCCAAAAAGGTTTATTTTTATATCTTTGTGTTATCCCATTCTTCCCTCTACTTTTTCTCTTCTGCAAATGATCTTCTATGGTTCATGAGAAATGCAGTTGAAAAATACTGATTTGAAGTGAAAGTGCTTGGTATGTTTGGATGAAGAATTTATATGGGGTAATTCATTTATTTGAAGAATTTCAAATTCTTTGAGGTGAAATGCTTTGTTTGGACGAGGAATTTACAAAGAATTTGAAATCAAATCATTTGTGAAATTCCTTAAAATAGTAGAATTTCAAATTCTCCCAAAAATGGGAGAATTTGAAATTCCTCATATTTGTTTTTCTTATTTCACCTATATATTTTATCTTATCTCTTCATTTTTTTAATTATTAGATATTCAAAAATATTTTTAAAATTGTTAAACATTATCTAATATTAATTTTTAAAATTATTAAATATTTAAAAATGGATTAATATTTATTTTTATAAATTTTTAAAATTATTAAATATTATCTATTATTAATTTTTAAAATTAATAAATATTTAAAAATGAATTAATATTTATTTTTATATAATTTAATTTAAAAATCTCAACATATAAATATATTTTTAAAATCAATTTTATTATGATGGAATAAAATTATCATATTCAACTTAATAATTTAAAATTTAAGAAATTTGAATTGACTCATCCAAACAAAATATTTTAAGAATGATAGAAATTGAAATCAAAGTAATTCAAATACCAAGAATTTAAAATTTCTTGAATTTGTAAAATTCTTCATCCAAACACACTATAATAGGGTTCTGGTATATTTTCAGCTACTTTCTGTTTTTTCAAAGTTTTCACTTTAAATTCACACTCTGGGGTTTATAAAGTGTTTGTTACACGACAAATTATAATCAGTCCAAAAGATAAACCAAATGATATCATGCTTTTGTAGATTGATGAGGAGATCCTCCAGGAAGTGGTGAATATGGGATTTGACAGGAATCAATTGGTCGAGTCTCTTCGGAACAGGATGCAATATGAGGTTTGTGTCTTTTATTTTTTCCTTCTACATCTGCCAGATTATCCCTCACTACCATCCATATATTTCAGGGTACTGTGGCATACTATTTGTTATTGGACAACCGCTTTCGTGTTTCCAGTGGCTATCTTGGAGCTGAGTTTCAAGAGTCCATGGTTGGTTCTTTTACCCCTATTTTTTTTTTTTAATATTTCATTAGTAGTCTGTCTGTATTCTCTAATTAAGTCATTTAGCTTATCTAATAATTCAGAAAAAAAGACATTTCTCTAACAATTGTTTATATTGTATCCCTATGCAAACTGGGTTGCTAGTTATATGCTGTATGAATGTTTGTGCTATGAATATATCAGCACCTCTGCATTATGTGGGTGCAAGCGAGGAAGATGGGAAGGGACAGCAAAAAAGTTGAACACTTGGATACTCCAACAGAAGGTTGCATTGGAAATGTGAGAGAAGGGGGAGGGGGTGAGCTTTGTAATGTCTTGCTAAAAAGTTGGGATTCAGTTATTGAATAAAAATAAAAAGTGTAGAGGAAGGAGAGAGGCAGGGAAAAATTGAGTGGGGAAACTATCCTGGGTTCCTGTAATATGAGTTTCCTCACGGTATTTTCTGTAATATAAGTGAGGTTTCTATCATTTAACCATGTCATTAAATATATCTTTCTAGCCTGAACTTGGTTTTTTGTGGATCTTATAACCACGGTATTGTATGTTTGTTATTCTTGATTGATATTATTTTTCTTTGCCTGTTTCCTTTTAAAACTAAATCCTATCTAAAACTCATTAATTTTGGGTTTAATATTGTGATTGCTTAGGATTCTGGTTTTAACCAAATGCTTCCCAGTGAAGTTGCTTCTTCAGTTGTTGGACACCGCTTTCCAGGTTATATGGATTATCCAGGAGTAGGATCGAGACGACAGTTCCCTGTTGAAAGGAAATGGGCCCTTGGGCTTCAGGTATGATGAATATCTCTGATGATGATCTCACTGTTTGAGATGAAATATTTGTTGGATGTCTGTTTGTTTAATTCGTTCCATCTGTTCTATGAAAGTTCGGGCTGTTGAATTTGTTTCTTATTTTGTTTCCTCTCTGGATATGTACAATAAAATATTGCTGTTGTCAAGAACTAACAAATGTTTAATAGTTGCTATTGGGAAAAACCCAAGTTCCGCCAATCCTAGATCATTAAAAAGGGTCACCCACCATTTATCCACGTACCAAGCCTAATAGTGCTGGACGTGAGGGGGTGTATTGGGAAAAACCCAAGTCCCACATCGACTAGAGATTAGGCAATTAAATAGTATATAAGTGGAAAGCAACCCTCACCATACAAGCCGGTTTTGTAGGGTTGAGTTTAGAACACTGGGGAGCATTCCACATAGTGAGTAGTGAGTAAGTCACACAAGTGAGCTTTGACACCACAACATAACCTAAAACCTTAAGGCATTAGGTAGGTGGGTCTTTCTCATTTATATATTACTCAACATGCCCAACTCTAACCAATGTGGGACTTCGCTTCACACTTGAATTCCAACACTCCCCCTCAAGTGTGAATCCCTTCCACATGGTCACGCTCTCCCTCAAGCAGAAATTTTTTTCTTTCGTCCACGAGTATTCAATGGTGGCCTTACTTGTACTATCGTTGCACTTCAACGACACACGTCCTCTACATCTCTAGGGAGACTTTCAGTACAAGGGATGATCCTACTCTTGGATCTCCTACCAATTCCATTTAGGATCTACATCTCTAGGGAGACTTTCAGTACAAGGGATGATCCTACTCTTGGATCTCCTGCCAATTCCATTTAGGATCCCACTCTTGGATCTAGCCAATACTAATTTGAGCCGATCACCAGTCACTTGGTCGAACCATCGGCTCTGATACCAATGTTGGGGAGTTTAGAACACTGGGGAGCATTCCACATAGTGAGTAGTGAGTAAGTCACACAAGTGAGCTTTGACACCACAACATAACCTAAAACCTTAAGGCATTAGGTAGGTGGGTCTTTCTCATTTATATATTACTCAACATGCCCAACTCTAACCAATGTGGGACTTCGCTTCACACTTGGATTCCAACAGTTGCCATTAGAAAAATTGTGGTTTTGATGTCTTGTTGGTTGTTACTTTCTGATCATTATCTTGTGACAGTCTCGAGCCCATCCTCGTGAAATAATGACTGAGGTCCTTAAAGCTTTGCAAGAATTAAATGTTTGTTGGAAGAAGATAGGTCACTACAACATGAAGTGCAGGTGGGTTGCTGGGATTCCTGGTCATCACGAAGGAATGGTTAACAATAATGTGCATAGTAATCATTACTCTGAAGATGATTCCAACATTATTGAGAACGATGCTGTTTCTACATCAAATGTGGTCAAATTTGAAGTGCAGGTAATTTACCTTTAGAACCATAATGTTTACAGCATGTGATTTAAAATTAAAATTTCAATCACAGCTTTAGTAGCAACAATTTTTCTCTGATGGTGAGATAAGTATCCCTTGTTAAATTAAAGTGGTTTAAAGTCACAACCGAAAGGCCAATATAAAAAAACTATTGAGTCTTCAGATTATTTTCCTTCCCTCACCCCATGTTTATAACGTTTAAATCATTGCTGTTTCTTGACAGTGTTCTATCCATTTGGAGAATGAGATTGTCTTCTTAATAAACCAATTCTTCTGTTATTATTGGGTAATTATGATTCTTTTTCCATAATCTTCTCTAATTCTTACATTCATTTCAACAGCTTTACAAAACTCGGGAAGAAAAGTACCTGCTTGATCTTCAAAGGGTGCAGGGTCCACAGTTTCTTTTCTTGGATCTGTGTGCTGCTTTCCTTGCACAGCTTCGTGTCCTCTAGAGCAAAGAGCTTAGGTTCACAAGAGACTTAAATATGCCTTGTGTTTCATGTGAATAAGCTTACATTGTACATACAAGTATTTTCAATCCGAGCGTATCCTCTGTTTTCTACCCGTTTTTCTATGGGTAACCATGGTAATGAGCCAATCCTAAATATGGGATTTGCTTCGTTAACAGTGGTGTTTGACTAGGGGCTCCTTTCTCTTGGTGGTCTTAATTTTATCTATGTAGTGAATGTGGGGAAAGTTATAAAAGAATTAGCCTCCAACTGACAGTGATATGTATGGTTTTCAACCAAGTGCTGTAAATGATTGTTGCTATAGGAAGGAATGTCTAGGCTGCTGCTTAACTTTTGCAGATTAGCCTTCATTTTCCTATGAATGTAGTTTCATATTACTCGTTTGAATGCTATGTAATGACTCTTTTCATCCGCTGGGCCGTTCCTATTTCTGGGGTACTCAATTTAGATATCCAGGATCATCGTGAACTGGCCTTTTGAAGTTATCATTATGAATCAAGGTATATGGCCCATGGGTTTGACTTGTAGACCCTTAAGGTGACATTGTTCATAATCAGCATTTGGGCATCAACCTTTTTAGACTCATTCAACATAATTTTTTTTTTATTTGACCTAGAGAGATGTTGTTCACGATCATTAGTAACATCACTAATGTTCGTTTCAAGAAAATAATCAAACCGTGGTTAAAACAATCAAATGTGGGTCTTGAATATACTGATTGTTTTGAGCCCTCAGTTTAATTGTCAAGAACATACTTTTCTTGATATGAATGACGCTATTAGTTAACGATTTCTCTGAGTTAAATCAAGAAAGTGTTAATTTAAATGAGTTTAAAACTGTTGATAATCAAGTCCTGATTATGAATGATTCTACCTTAGATGGTAGTGAATGGTGGTCTTGAAAATAACTAACTAATTAATATTTTAGTTTGTGTAATATAGATATATGTAATTAAAATTTATAATACATTATATATACAAATAAATATAATATTTGAATATATAAATTATTTTTTTAAAATTTATATAAGTAGGTACTTTTAAGTATATAAACTATATTTTAGAATTGTGACAAAAAATTAAATTATAGAATTTTTAAAAATATTTGCGTACAATATAGAGATTTATGCACTTGCTGTTAATATTGTAATTTTAAAAGCTGATAATATCATGAAAATGAAACAAGCAATGAATATAAAATATAAAACTAAAAATAATACTATAACCTTAATAAAATAAAATAAAATGCACTACAGTAATAATAGAAAAGTAAATCATCTAAAACAATACTGTAAAATGTAAAATAAACTAAAAAAATTCACACCGTATAATAAAGTGTTTCTAAAATAATAAAATACTATTATAAAAATGAAAAATTAAAATATTTCTTAAATATATAAGATTTTTTAAATTTATGAATAAGATAGAAAATTTATTTTAATTAAGATATGTCAAGTTTATTAAAATAATTTAAATTGATAAAGAAGATATAAAATAAGCTATTTAAATCAAAACACATTAAGTCAGATGTATAATGTGCGAAAATTAAAATTACAAAAATTTGTTTTCAAATTACAATTAAAATTATTTTAAATTCAAATTATCTATATTAAAAAATAATTGTCTCTTAATAATAATAAATATTTAAGAAAGAAAAACCTTATTATAATGATAATATATTAATAATTTAAATATAACATATAATGTTGTAAAATAAACATAAATAAATTTGCATATTAATAATTTTTTTATTATAATAACAAAGATAATAAAACAGTTTCATAAAATAAAAAATATTAAAAGCTAAATATTTATATCTATGATATTTTTTTCTCATTTTATACATTTCAATATATGAAATTGAAATAATTTTTGAGATTTTTGTTTTTTTTTTTAATTCTTAAAATTAAAAAAAAATTAAAAAAAAACCATTACAATAATAATATATTAATAATCATAAATATTAAAAAATAATATTATAAAAAACATAATAAATAATTACAAAAAATATATTTATACTATACATCTTTTGGTACCGAGTCTACTTTTATATCTATATATATATATATTATGTTGTTCATTTGAAGTTTAAAAAATTAAAATAATTTATAGATTTATATTTAATTAACATTTTAAAGGCAAATTTTTATTTAAAAAATTCAGCTGTAAATTTTTTTTTGTTTAAATATATTTTTAATCACTTCAATTTTTTATTTTTTATTTTTTTTGCTTGTGATTAAAAATAATCGTTAGATACATTATTAAAGTAAATGAATGACTGAGACTGAATTATTCTTTTTGTATTATGACTGTGAATTTATTTTAATAATATATCCTACGGTTACTTTTAACTTACATGGGTATTTTTTTTCCTTCGCTTTATAATTCACGGGTAATATTTCTGAAAATTTATCATGCCCTCACTTAATTTTTTTTTTTAAGTGACTTTAGAAACGGACTCCCAAGAATATTTTATTAAAGTATTTTAGAAAATAACCAATGTTTTTTTTATTTTTATTTTCTTTTTATTTTCAGCAATAGGCTAGAGAAGACGAAGCCTTGTTTATTCTCACTAAGTACTTGTTCTCTAGAATTACCAAACTTACTACCTCTCTTGTGCACCATACTATTTATTTACTTTCTGCACCATACAATTTATTTCCGACACCCTTCCCAAATGTTGAAGTTCCAGAAATATCTCTTTTCAAAAGTAACTTCCAAAATAATAATGTCATCTTCAAAGATTTCTCTTCTGATCAAATCAACAAAACATTAATTTAAATTACTCTAAAAATATTAATATCGTATACGATATCTCATCCATAATATTTTAACAATCTTCATCTTCTAGAATTTATAGATATATAAGTTTATTATATATAAACATTATACATTTATATTCTAACACATATTTTATAATTATTTAATTTTATAATTTCACATGATATTTCTTTCATTTTTAAATTATATCATGTACATTTATTTATAAATTCGCGTAATATTTTTAGACTCATTCAAATTAATGCTTTGTTGATTTAACCAAAGAGAAATTATTTGCAATCATTAGTAAAATCACTAGTGTTGTTCATTTTACTAAAAAAAATATATTAATATCTTAATGTTAATATTGTAGCTATAGTGAAATGTTGTGCAAATTTATAAATAAATGTATATGATATAATTTAGAAATGTTATACATATTTTAAAAAATAAATATCGTGTAAAATTATAAAATTAAATAATTAAAAAATGTTTGTTGAAATATAAAGAGCATAAAGTTTGTATGTAATAAATGTATATATCAGATATAATTTTAAAAAAAAGAAATATTGTTAAAATATCATAGATGAGACATAGTATAAGATATTAACATTTTTAGATTCATTTAAATTAATCCTTTCTTGATTTGACTAAGAGGGAAATGTTCATGATTGCATTATTTATAATCAACATTTGGACTTCAATATTTTTAGTGTTGGAAATATGTCTAAATATCTTTAGGAAAATATATTAATTTTGATAAGAATTTTTTATTTATGTTTCAAATATTTATATTTAGCCTGTTTTGATTATTTTATGATTTATTTTCTTGTTTTTAGAATAAGATAATATCAATATTTGATTTTGTATCACAACTTTTCTTCATATATAGAGACCTCATAAATAAAATTCAATTATGCTCATTTGATAAAAAATATAGTTTTACAAAATACAAATATAAAATAATCCATCATTTAGATGCATTCAAATTAACGCTTTCTTGATTTTGTTCAAGAAATTATCTAGAACCATTAATAGCATCACTAATGTTGTTCATTTAAAGAAAAATATGTTCTTCTTAACAATCAAATTATGGTTATATGTATCAAGCCTAAGATTATGAGCCATAGTTTGATTGTCAAGAAGAACATACTTTTCTTGAAATGAACAATAGTGATGCTACTAGTGGCTACGGATCCTAAGGTCAATTTTGACATTTCATGGACTCCGGACAAAACAATAAATTTGAGCCCTTATATGTAAACAATAATATTAAAATGTAAATATTTATAACATAAAAATAGATACATGATTTAATTGAGACTTAATATATTATTTAATTTATGAATTCTTTTGAGAATTTTTAATTAGATCTTAAATTTAAAAAATTATAATTTGGTATTTCATATTTTTATATTTTAGCCCCTAGATAAGTTTATTATCCATGTTATTTAATTTGACATAATATTTTTTATTTCCAAGTACTTAGACAACTATATTAGATTACCATTCAATATTACCATTTATTTGTTAATATTTTCTACTTATATAAACATATAAAAAATATCATATTTCACAAAACAAACAGATCTCTAGTCTTAAGAACTAAATTACAAAAAAAAATATGAATGACTCAATTACAATTTTTTTAGTTTACAGACTTAATAAACATTTTAAAAAATTTCATAAACTAAACAATGAATTAAACTTTTAATCGAATATAATATATTTTATTACATTAAAAAAATAATAATGTTAACAAATTTAAATAAATATGTTAATATATTTTTATTCAATTTACTTTTATAAATAATTTATCATAAAATATTATATAAATAATTTTAAGAACAAAAAGTAATGCATCTTTAAATTAAAAGGAAAAAATAAGATAAAAATAAATTTTGAAACTAGAATCAAATTTAATTTTTTTTAAAGAAATAAAAAATATAATTTACATTTTATAAATATAATACATAAAAAATTAATAATAATAAAAAAACCATAATTGTATTACTTTATATTTTAAATATAAAAACAAAAAAATATAAAAGATGACATTTTTAATTTATTTTTAAAAATAATATAAAAATTATAACACCATTATATAATTTCAAAAATAAATGGATCCCTCTTAATTTTAGGAAGATCAAGTGAATTCCAAAGTAACATTTCTCCATCTTCAACATTATGCATTGCTTCCATGTATTCCTCATTCTTCTTTTTAAGCCTCACTTTTGTTTTTGCTACAAGCCATCTTGAGGTTGGTTAGTTGATTAGAAACCCCTCTTCCATTTTTGTTTCCTGATTCAAGTTTCAACTTCAAGCACTCAGGTATTCCATTGAAGGCATAAAGGGATGCTGAAAACTTCTCTCATATTTCATCCACTCCATGGCTGCTCTCAGCATTGAGGGCTCATCACCACAGTTCTCAGGCTCCAATTGCTCCTCAATCTCTTCAGCAATGTCAAAAGGTGAATAATAGTAACTTGACGGAACAACATTGTCCAAGAACTGAAAATCCTCAGCACTCAAATCACTGCCTTCTTCACTGTCTTCCTCTCTTTCCCCTCCTGAATTTACATCATCACTTGATGTTTGTGTCACACTGCTGAAATCAAATTCCATTTCCTTTATCCTGCAATTCTCTTTTTC